GAAATAAACAAGGAAAAAATGGTGGGATATTGTTGTTACATCTACATTTTAAGAACATGATATCCTAACATTTTTCTTCTGGGGTTTCACAGACAATGGCTCAATATCTACATAAAGATATCATAAAATAAAGAGGTATCTGACTTTATGTCAAAGTTTAAATAATTACAGAAGTAAAATATATGGCTGATTTATGAAAATATATTACAATTACTGTAAAAATTAAACACACCTTTGCACATTTATAGCTTTTCTGGGGGAGGACCCCAGTAGTGGAGGACCCCTGTTCACTAACTACATGGTAATAATATTTGCATTTGCTACATCAAATAGAATCATTATGAAAAATAACTGATTGAATTCTGGAATGTGCACAGAACTCCATTCCAAAAGGCTGCAAAGCTAATAAAGGTCACCGTATTGTTACTTTAGCTTTGCAAACTATTGAACTCATTGTGCGTAACAAGGCAGAACAGAAGCATCTTCCTCTCTGCTCCACCTGTATTCATTACCTGCATTAGAAACATTCCTTTTCTTTTGTAGCTTTTCTGGAAGCTTCGTATTTTTGGGTAAGGACAGGTACCGGGAGGCTGACGTGGAAGCCTGCACAAGACACAGAAAACCTTAGACTATGCAGATGGCATTCACTGGAAGTTTAAATTCTTATGACAAACTTTATTAAAATGTAACATGTTAGTTCTCCATGCCAAAATTACTTTGTGAGGGCCTTTAGGGATGGGGAAGAAAATCCCTAGCAATAATTATTTAATTTAAAATCACTAAAATTCTTCTAAAATATAGAAGAAGCCAAGAGAGAAAAAAAGAAAAAAAAAGGGAAATAAAGTGGGACCATTTGGAACAAGATGTGAAAACCACTGTGTTTTCTCAAGGAAAAGAGACTGAACCACCTATTTATGACAATACTAGTGAAAAAGCCTTAGAACTGATAGGTATGCAGAAAAAGATAGATTAAAAATTGTAGCATATTTTAGTTTTATTTACTTGAATGTCTTGAAAATGATAGAACAAACAGCATTACTATAGCCAATTTGCTGACATTTTCATTGCCATTGTCTTTAATTTCTTTAATTTTTAATCAATGCTGCCATATTGAACACAAAGATAAAGATAATTTTGTTCAAACATAAAATTTTTATCTCTGATAACCAAATACCGAATATTATAAAAAACAAGACCTGGCTGGCTTGGCTCAGTGGTTGAGCGTTGACCTGTGAACCAGGAGGCCACAGTTTGATTCCTGGTCGGGGCACATGCCTGCGTTGCAGGCTCGATCTCCAGTGTGGGGTGTGCAGGAGGCAGCTGATCAATGATTCTCTCTCATCATTGATTTCTCCCTCCCTCCCTTCTATTCAGAAATCAATAATATATATATATATCCATATATATAAAATCGAGGGGCCGTGACAACCAAAATGACCAGATGACCTAACAGCAGGCTGCATGGGGCGACCAGGCTGGTAGGGGGTGCATTGAGGGATGACCAAATGACTGAACAGCAGGCTGTGTGGGGCGACCAGGCTGGCCAGGGGAGCAGTTAGGGGCAATCAGGCCGGGAGGCAGAAGTGGTTAGGGGTGATCAGGCGGGGGGGTCAGGGGAGGAGGGCAGTTAGGGGCGATCAGGCAGGCAGGCAGGTTAGTGGTTAGGAGCCAGTGGTCCAGGATTGTGAGAGGGAGTCAGACATCCCCTGGATTGGAGAGGGTGCAGGCTCGGCTGAGGGGACCTCCCAACCTGTGCACGAATTTCGTGCCTGCCATGTTCCAAGTGCACCCCCTGGTGGTTAGCGACCGGTTGTTCGATTGTTCTGCCATTTGGTCTATTTGCATATTAGCCTTTTATTATATAGGAATTGCTTATTCTGTCTGTCGGTGACCACATTTCCCCGGATGAGAATATGAATTCTACAAGCATAGGAATCTTTCCGTTTTGTTTACCAATGTATCCCCAGTGCCTAGAACTGTGTGCAGAACACAATAGGTGTTCACGAAACCTCTGAAAGACTTTTAAATGCCCTCTCTCCCAGAATTGCTGCGAATCAACCCTCAGCAGAGCTTCCAGAGCCCCGACGCCCTTACCCTGCGCTCCCGACTCAAGCTGCTGTCTTTCCGAATGCTCTCTCGCAAACTGTGCCTTCGGCGGATGAGAATCTCCTTGGCTTGTCTCTCACTTGTGTCAGCCGTCAGATTGTGTCTGTTGTATGACAAAGTCTGAAATAAAAACACAAGTGCCACTTTACAAAAACAACAACAACAAAAAACTGATCATGGCCCCAGAAATTGCAAAACTTTACTACATTTCTTTGGCACAGCATCTCAGTGAGGTACTTAACAGCCAACGTGCAGAGAGAAAAAAATATGAAAGGTGACATTCTTTCACATTTTGAAAGAATTAGTCTTCTTATAAAGCCAGTGAATAAGTTTTTCTCCCCATTGGAAAGTATGGTCTTTATAAATGAGAAAATGATTGAATTTATTAAGTGCCTTTGTCTACCTTGAAGTACCTTGTATGTATTTACCCATCATTATCAGTTGGGGAAAAAAATACAAGTCCACTTTATTCATCCTCCATGGAATAGCAATTACTTGTATAAAAACAAACCACTTTGAGACACTTGGTGGTGCCATGTCCTCTGATTAATCAATAGAGGCACAGTTCATTCCAGTGGCTGAAGGCTGAGCAAGCTGCTGTTACCGCCTACAATGCTCATGTCCTCATCTTTGAAGCTGTGAAATGTCTCAAGGTGGGCTGTCCATGGCAGACATTTTAGTTTATAAGCTATATAGAAATGTGTTCCTAAAACAAATTGTAATTGGTAATTAGGCTCATTTTCTGATAGAATTAATGTATACTTCTTGGAATATTCCTGTGTCCAGGCTGTATTAGGCCTAGTGGAAATGTGCAGAAGTAAAATAGAACAGGGCTCAATTCCTGCCTTGGGAAATGTGCCATTGAAGGCTAACAAAATAATACGATCATGAAATTAAGTACTAAACATATATGGTACAGCACATGCTCATTTAAAAAAAAGGTTGGGAGTAATATGTAAGGTGTTGGGGAACCTTAAAAATGGAAGAATATGGATCAATGGAGCTGACAGGAAGCTGACAGGGAAGAGAGTCTCCCAGGCTAGGAAGGAAGACAGAACCTGTACTCCGTGAGGGTTTGGGGTGGGTGCTGGAGGGATGGAGGCGTGGAAATAAGGATGGAAAAAGTGGAACCTGGAAATGGAGATCCCAAATTCTGAAAAAAACAGTTTAGCCTGGAAGCCACAATTGTTTTGTTTCATTTTTGAATGCTGGGCACTTCCAAGCCCAATACAAAGAGGAGGAATCTACAGATCTCTCAGTAGCACCTGCTGGGTGGCCCCAGTCAGTGGCTGACTTTGCACCTCCCTGGAGACCCAAGTGCCAGTGTACCCAGTGGTCAATATGAGACCATAGCAGATTACAATCCTACACATCCATAAGTGACACTCAAGGGGCAGAGTCAGTGAGCACCAGAGCCCCACTGAAGCAAAACCTTCTCCAGAGGGATGTCTCCTGCACAGCAGCTCTCCCATTGTAGTCACAGCTAGTCCTCACAGCCAGTTGGCCTGGAGGTCAACTCCTCCCAGTGAGGCCAACAGCAATCAAGGCTCAACTACAACAAGGTTGTGCTCACAGCCCAGAAAGGGGTGCACTTAGAGTGCCCAGCTCAGGTGACTGGGAAGCTGAGCCACTGGGCCCTATAGGACACCTGCTACACAAGGCCACTTTACCAATTCCAGGAGACATAGCAGCTCTACTCAATACATAGAAACAAACACAGGGAAGCAGCCAAAATGCAGAGACAAAGAAACACGTCACAAAGGAAAAAAATGGAAGAAAGAAAATTACTGGATACAGAGTTCAAAACCATGGTTATAAGGTTACTCAAAGATCTTCATGAGACCTTCAAGGGGCTTAGTGAGATTTTCAAGGATCTTAGTGAGAATAACAAATGGACCAGTCAGAAATTAAGCATACACTAACTGAAATAAAGAATAATTTACAGGGATTCAACAGTAGAGTAGAGGATTTTGAGAATCAAGTCAACAGTTTGAAATATGAGGAAGCAAAAAACACCCAATCAGAACAGTAAAAAGAAAAAATCCAAAAATATGAAGATAGTGTAAGGAGCCGCTGGGACAATGTCAAGCATACCAAAAGTCACATTATGGGGGTGCCAGAAAAGAGAGCAAGATATTGAAAACCTATTTGAAGAACTAATGACAGAAAACAGACAAAGAGAGAATCTTAAAAGCAGCAAGAGAAAAGCAGTTAGTTACCTACTGGGAGTGCCCATATGACTGTCAGCTGATTTCTCAACAGAAACTTTGCAGGCCAGAAGGGAGTGGCAAGAAATATTCAAAGTGATGAATAGCAGGGACCTACAACCAAGATTACTCTACCCAGCAAAGCTATCACTTAGAATTGAGGGTCAGATACCCTGTGCTCAGCTCTAGCCTGTGTTCCCTCTGCCAACACCATCTCCCCTTGGAGACTTTGCAAGGTTCACTTTTATCATGTTTCTCATCAGAACCCAGCAAAGGCTCTCTGATTTCTGCCAGAGAAGTTCAGGGTCTTGCCATGGCCTCAAAGGTCCCTAACATCTTCTTCCTCCTGGTTTTCTGCCTTGTTCCCTCAGTTCTGCCAACACTCAGCCCCCAGCCGTGTCTCCCTCAGCCCCTGGCTCCCTGCCCTCTTTCCTTCAGGGTTTACCCTTGTTTGAGGAGCCCTTGTTTGAGACCACATCCCTCTCAGGTGCAGCTGGGCCAGGACCCCTGAGTGGGCATCACGCAGAGGAGGCAGCTGCTCACTCTGTGCTGTGGCCTCGAGGCCTGCTCAGCACTCTGACTGAAGGGCTGTCTGTGATCACGGAAGTATATTTTCCCTCCTGTTGGCTGTAACTCCTCGTGGGCAGGGACTGTCTTCTTGCTCTCCCTGCACCAAAAGCAGCGCTGGCACAGGATAGGTGCTCGGCTAGTGCTGCCTGCTGGGTAGCTACCTCTGCTGGATGGGAAGCCCCTGGCAATTCCTGCCCAGTCCCAGGCTCCTGAGTTGCTGACGGTTCTGTGGTGTGAGCCCACAGGCAGCTGATGGCCTTCCCTCCTCCCCAACACAGGCCGTGCTGTCTCCAGGGCACCATGAACACCATCGTCACCCTCTGCCACTTCTGTGAGCTCCACGGCCCCCGCACTCTCTTTTGCACGGAGGTTCTGCATGCCCCTCTTCTGAAGGGGGCTGGGGACAGCCCTGGCCAGGGGGAGCAGGCCAAGGAGGAGGAGGGTGGCATCCAGATGAGCAGTGGGATCTGCACACACTGCCCAGCAGAAGGGGCCAGCACGGAGTCCAGCAGCCCGGGACCCAAGAAGTCGGACATGTGTGAGGTCTGCCCTGGCCGTGAAGGCCCTATCTTCTTCTGGGATGAGCAACATGGGTTTGTGTTCAGACACACCTTCTTCATCAAAGACAGCCTGGCCTGGGGCTTCCAGCGCTGGTACAGCATCACCACGATCACAATGGACCACATCTACCTCCAGCTCCCTGCCCTTCCTGCTCGGGGACCTGCAGGATCATCAGTAAATTCCAGGACAAGGCGCTCATGAGCAAGAGGCTTGAGGTGCTTCAGGTTCAGCTTTTTCTTGGCGAGAGCACATGACGGCTCCGTTCTGTGGCAGTCGCTGACAGAGAAGTTCCTGGTTGGGCCCCTCTGCCCATCGCCCTCCCTCCCCCAGGACACCTTGGTCCAGATGAAGAAGCTCGTGGATTTAGAAGAGGAATCAGAAAGCTGGGACAACTCTGAGACTGAAGAGGAAAAAGCTTCTGTCTTGCCAGAGGGTGTGGAAGGGCGGGAGCTGACCAAATGCCCCACAGGTTCCTCCTCGCTCTCAGACTGTGAGAGCTGGCAGCCCCGAAAGCTGTCCCTTTAAGTCCCTTTGGCACATGAAACAGCAAAGTGAAGGTCCTTTTCAAATTCACCAAGGTGGTCAGTCGGCCCAAAGAGAACACACAGGAGCTCCTGAGTATCCTTGGAGCGTCTGAGGAGGACAACGGAAAACTTCTCAAGTTCTGGATGACAGGCCTGAGCAAAACCTACAAGTTTCACCTCATGTCCACGGTCTGGAGCGCCCCGGCCACAGAGCCTTGTAATTGACCCACCATGGAAGTCAGTCTGGGATGCCTTCTAGGAAGTGGTGATGGCCATCCTTGCCATTGCACTCAGAGATTGGGTGTCTGGTGGCCGTCATAGGCTGTCCCATCCTGCACTGCTGGCACGGAGCTGTGTCCTAGCAGGGGATGTTGGGGCTAGCAGGGGATGTTGGGGCCGAACTATGCTTGTGTGTGGATTTGGGTGGTGAGTTCTTGGGATCATCCCACCAGCTGTTTCCATTGCTCCAGCCTGAAGAGGACCGTGGGAGACTTGTGACAAGGACAGGCCCTGCACCAGTGCACCCCGCGAGAGAAGACGAAGGAAACTGTGTCTCCTGTCGCTCATGGACTTAGATCTCAATTTTTATAGGGAAGACACGTCAGGCCAGTCCTGACCTGGGTATTTTAGCCACAATATCGTAACTTTCTCTTGAGGTTAACATTCAAAACTTTCTGTTCTGAAATGCAGCAAGAGTTCTCCAGATATTAAATGTACACATGTAGTATCGCTACAGTTGTGAATTTTCAAGACAGGTGCTGATCCTTAGTCATTTTTAGTAACCTGGTTTTGAGTTAGGGCTCTGGGACAGGCTTTCAGAGTAAAGAGGAGGTATTCTTCATCGGTGGGTCCTTGGGAACTCATGTTCTGAAGTCATGTGACTACCAACTCCTCTGGCCATGCTGTCCTGGTATTGCTCTGAAATTACCCTATAGTTTGAGGTCAAGCCCCTGATCTTTGTTACACAAAGATGACACTGCTGAAATGTCCATGGAGCCATTTGACTTGCCCAGCTCACTGTGTGCGATTCCATGTCACTTTGTTTTTATTGCTTCCTTACACATTCACATTTGGCTGCAGTTAATCTTCAGAGCATGGTGACTTAAGATAAGATCATCTGATCCTCTCAGGGTTCATTTTGATAAGGGTTTATGGTTTGGAGGGATTTTCCAGCAGTTTGCTGATTTGTTTAATTTTTTGTTCATTTATATTTAACATGAAGACTAATGAAGACTAATATGACTAGGTATCTGTATTATGTAAGAATATTGCAACAATAAATCTGTATTTTTATTAAAAAAAAAGAATTGAGGGTCAGATAAAGAGCTTCACAGACAAGAAAAAGCTAAAGGAGTTCATCACCACCAAACCAGTATTACATGAAATGTTGAAGGGTATTCTTTAAAAAGAGGAAGAAGAAAAAGATGAAAAATATGAACAATAAAAAGGCAATAAATACATATCTAATAAGAAATCTAATGAACAGAATAAACTGGTGAATAAAATAGAATGAGAGGCATGGAAATGGAACAGGCTGACGATTCTCAGAGGGAAGGGGTGTGGGGGGCGCGAAGAGACTAAACAAAGATCTTATACGCATACTAGAGGCCCAGTGTACGAATTCATGGACCAGTGGAGTCCCTCAGCCTGGCCTGTGGAATCAGGCTGAAACTGGCTCTCCAACATCTCCTGAGGGGTCCCAGATTGTGAGAGAGCACAGGCCAGGCTGAGGGACCCCACTGGTGCACGATCAGGGCCGGGGAGGGATGTGGGAGGTTGGCTAGCAGGGGAGGGACCGCAGTAGGGCTCCAGGGTATGTCTGGCCTGTCTCGCTCACATTAGGCTTTTATTATATAGGACATGCATTACTGATGCTCACAGACATTAAGGCGGCGAAGGCCTGGGGTGGGGCGGGAATTGGGTGAAGGAGGGCAATGGGGAGAAAAAGAGGGACATCTGTAATACTCTCAACAAATAAAGATTTAAGAATTTTTTTAAAAAGGTGCTTTAGGGAAGAGGAGGAGGAGTGAGGAGTAACGTCGGGTGGATTGGGGCAGTCTTTGGGGAGAACAGCTAGGAAGCTGCAGAGATGACCCAGCAGGAGTGAAGAGGACTCCTAACAAGCAGTGTGGCCCTTGGACCACTTCACCTCCCCGGCCTCTATTTCTTCATCTGTAAAATGGAGGCAATGGTAACACTGTTAACTGTAGGATTAAATGAGTTAATGCACATAGTGTGCTGACATGGGGCTTGCCCACTTGTACGCATTCGCTAAGTGTTAGCTTTATTATTAGCAAATTATGAGAATGAGGTGTTCACAATGGAAATGCAGTTTAAAAAGCGATTCAGATGACACATGAAAAGAAGAAACTATAGCACCTTATGAATAACTATCCAATTATAGTGCATTTAAGGAAGGTTAAATACATTTAAAAAGTCTTATAAAGCCATAAAAGTAGTTCATTAAAAAATAAAAAGAAAGCAATCAATTATTTTCTTCACAATTATTTTATACACACGCGTGCGTGCGCGCGCGCACACACACGTATATTTATTTAATTAAAAATTAATTTTATTTTTGTTAATCCTCACCTGAGGATATTTTTTCCAGTGATTTTTAGAGTGGAAGGGAAGGGGGTAGAGAGAGAGAGAGAGAGAGAGAGAGAAACATTGATGTGAGAGAGACACATTGATTGGTTGCCTCTTGCACACACCTTGACCTGGGCCAGGATTTGAGCCTGCAACCAGGTATGCACCTTTGACTGGAATTGAACCTGTGACCCATCAGTCCACGGGCCAACGCTCCAATCACTGAGGCAAACTGGCTAGGGCCACAGTTGTGTATTTTAAGTCTCCAAGCTCATAGAGGCAGAACTCCCAGAGGCTCCCCATGGTGCCTGGAGGACAGCGCACTGTGGAATGGGGTCTGAGAGAGAGGAGATGCCTGGAGTGGGCCTCAGGGTTAGTGTAATAGTGGGACCATATGCACTATAATTGGGTAGTACAAAATCAGAAGGCACATTTTTAATTAAAAGCAAGTAAATATTTTGTTAAATAAATTATTCTCACTCGCTGGCGGATCTGATAGAGATTTCTTGATAATATTTCTCGAATTTCATCCATTTCACCAGGTGTAAGCTTCCTTATTTTTTCTTCATGACAGTCACTGAAAGTTTAGAAAAAAAATGATTTACTGTTCAAAAATAGTCTTTCTTAAAGACATAATATCATTATTTAAGAAGAATACTCTTAAGTAAGAATAACACAGGAATAATTCAACATTTTGAAATAATTTAAAATTCTGAAATTTTATCTCAGTGCAAGATCACTGAGGGCAGGTTACTCCAGCACAGGCTTCCATCTGCTCATCTGATTGTTTTTAGGAAGGTAAACTATAGTGGCTTATAATGCCATCGCTTTATTATTTCTAATCCGTCATAAAAAAGTAACACAGGATTGTTTTTTCCAACAGAAACTTAATTAGCCATATTTTGCTATCCTGGCCTGGGCTTTAAAAACATGCCATTAGCTATGTTTGCAAAAACACTATTGATAATATTCATGAATATACAGTCCATCTTCTTTATTCAGGGATTCCAACAGATTCACCCACTTGGTAAAATGTACTTGGTAAACACACTGTCGTACTTGGGGACCTGCCCAGCCATTGGGGACCTGTGCAAAGTGGAGACAAATTTGCGTTGATCGACGTGCAGGTTCCCAAATGAGGATGACGGGAGCAGCGCTTTGCTTTCTGGTTTAGCTCTGGTCCTGTCAGAAACGGGCCTTCTCGTGGTCTATTTAGTGACAAGTTTTTGCAGTTCTGAGTTTTGTGATGGTGGTTTTGCTGTTTTAAAGGCCCCCACGCATAGTTCCGAAGTGGGCGGTGTCCCATGTGCCTGGGGGCTGTGATGGCCTTCTGCGAAAGCAGTGCTCCGCAGGCTTCCTTCAAGCATGAGCTGTGGTGCCCTTGGCCGCAAGTTCAATGGCAATGAAACAACAGTATATTTCATAAGGCGTTTTCAAATGGAACCAAGTTATGCATTGCTTGGCTGATTAAAGCATTCTGACCAGAGGCGCTCAGAAACCTAACCCTGTGTTTTTTCCCAGGAGCAATATTCAATGTTTGCAAATCAGCGTTCAAGGGCAACTTTATAGAACTGTAAGTCCTGCAAACAACGGGAATTGACTATGTTTATATAGTTTTACTCTCACTCTCTCAATAAACTAAGAAAATAAATTAAGAATATAAAGCTGGCCAGTTAATATACATAAATGCATACAGAAGATGAGCCAAGGGCACACAAAATAAAGAAGGTAGTTCTCATATTATTTTAAATGTTGCTACTGTAAACCAAGGATAATGGTAATTACTGGGGTCCAAACCTGCGCCCAATGGTAATGGGTACGCACAAAGGAATGAACAAGGAAATGCAAGGCTGCATCAAACTTTCCTGTATGTAGACGATTCGTTATTGCCTCCTTTGCTTAGAGGGTTTTTAAAGAAGCATCTTTTCAGACTGAGACGTTGTCAGGTAGCTGTCCAACTTTCTAGTTAATTAACATAATTTTAAAATTGAAATGAAAAAATTAGGTCAATAAATAACAATCTTTTTGGTGTCTGATTTTCTTTTTTCTTTCTTTTTGTTAATCCTCACCCGACAATATTTTTTCCATCAATTTCTAGAGAGAGAGGAAAGGAGGGGCAGAGACACAGAGAAAGAAACATTGATGGTAGAGAGACACATCGACTTGTTGCCTCCTGCTCAGCCCTGACCAGCACTGGAGAATGAGCCTGCAACAAAGGTACATGCCTTTGACTGGAATCGAACCCGGGACCCTTCAGGCCTTGGGCTGGCGCTCTAACCATTGAGGAATCCGGCTAGGGATGGTGTCTGATTTTCTTGTACGATGTTCCCACCAAGTTTTAAATAACATGTTTGCATAAGTATAGTGACAAGAGCACAACTACCTTCCTTGTTTACACTTAAAACACCCACCACAGTTCCGAATTTGTGTATTTTACTTGTGGTTCTGTCAGGTTTTGGTTCATATATTTGAGGCTGTTATATTTGTGTGCTAATTTAGAGTTTTATGCCTTCTTATAGATTTGAAACTTTGTCATTATAAATGTATTTCTTTATTTATAGCAATATTTTTGCATAATGTTTACATTTTATGGTAATGTGATTACACAAACTTTCTTTTGTTTAGTGCTTTAATGGTATAACTTTTTCCAACCTTTTATTCCTAGCTATCCTCTAACTTTACATATAAGTAGTATCTTTTATAAACAATATCTAGTGAGTTGTGTATTTTTATCCATTCTAATCATCTCTCCCTTTTAAATGAAGTTCATATTTAATGTAATTTGTGTTTAAGACTATTTTCTTACTATTTGCATTCTGTTTGTCCTATATGTTCTACGATTGTTTATTCTAGTTTGTTGCCCTTTTAGAATTTATTTTATTTTGCTATTTTATTTCTCTTCTATGTTGGCTTGTTACCTTCTTTAACTATTTTTTAGTGGTTATCTGATATTATAATATTAATTATTGATTTATTAAAGTCCAAAATACATTTTTATTTTTACCACTTACTGAACAATGCAGGGATCAATAACACCATTTACCTCCCTCCCAATGTATAAGCTATTATTGTTGTTAGTTTTAAGTCTGTATAGATTTAAAATCCCACAGACATTATTATTTTATGCAATTAATACTCCTTTAATTTTACAGATATTTTCCATTCCCATTGTTTTAATTCCTCCCTTCGTCTGCAAGCTTTTCTATGAAACCCTTTATCATTGACTTCAATGTGATGACTTTCATCTGAAAATGTTTTTAACCTACTTTTTTTGAAGGGTGTTATAGCACGATATGAAACTCTAGGTTATAAGTTACTTTCTTTCAAAAATTTTAAGATAATGATGGTTTCCACTGTGTTCGTTGAAAAATAATTGTCAGTTTTTTTCTTTTTCTCTGAGTATGTTTAAATTTTCTCTTTGTGCCTTTGATCTTTAGCAGTTTTTACTGTCATATACCTGCATTTGGTTTTCTTCATATCTAATCTGTTTGGGGTTTGTCACATTTTATGTCTTTTATCTGTTTGGGGAAATTATTAGTCATTTTGTCTTAAAATATTGCTTTTACCAATTTTTCTCTCACTTCCTTTTGGAACTTTTGAAAGTTCTTCCATATGTATTTCTTACTTTCTTTTCCACATTTTTCATCCTTTTTTTTTTTTCACTTAGTGCTTCATTCTGGTTTTCTTTTCTCCTATCTCCCAATTTACCAATTATCTCTTCAGCTGTATCTAACCTGTGTTTACATCTATAAAATGAGATCTTAAATTTAGTTGCTTTATTTTTAGCTAAAATATTCCCCTAAGGTGTTTTTATTCATGTAATCTCCATGACAATGCCAAAAATATAAATGACCTTTTCTTTTTTAGGCTTATTATATTTTATTTTAAAGCCCACGCTTTTAAAATATATTTTTATTTATATCAGAGAGGAAGGGAGAGGGAAAGATAGAAACATCAATGATGAGAATCATGGATTGGCTGCCTCCTTGGGATCGAGCCTGCAACTTGGGCATGAGCCCTTGACCAAAATCAAACCCAGGACCCTTCAGTCTGCAGGCAGATGCTCTATCCACTGAGCCAAACCAGCCAGGGCTAAAGTCCATGTTTGATAACTCAATTATCTAAATCCCCTTTTTACCTGTTACTATTCTGCTTTTATCTTTTTCTCAATATTTTCTTTTGATTGGTTGCTAAACATTAAATATGAAAACTCATGAGGCAGTTTAAGGCTTTTCATGCTCTTATTTTTTCCAAAGAATAGTTACATTCCCTTCCCTAAAGCAACTGGGAGAGGGGGAATATCAAACTCAAGTGTCAAACAGCCGTGGATTAAGATGACCCTGGACTGGACTTCTTTGATTGGAGGTTAAGGTGCAGGCTGTGAGGTTAACACCTACAGCTGGATACCCAAGCTCCTCCCGCTTGTGGGCCCTGAATTTTGGTCTTAGCTCTATGACCCATCCGTCTGTCAAAACCTCTGTTCTAACCTTTTGGACTCAGACACCTTCTCTGTGGCCCAGGAGGAAAATAGCGCCTACTGCCGGCTCCATCTTCTTGGTTCCCTTTTCTCGTGACTTGGCTGAAAACGTTCCCCCCATGCTGGTACTTCCCCGCTTAAAAGCAGACTTTAAAAATATATTTTGTCCTCTTTTTCTAGTTATTCTCAGAAGCTGGTTTGGTCTGTAGCACTCAGTCCATTATGATTAGAAATAGGATTCCTTATTATCTCCCCTTCTGCTTCTCCTCTCTAGGTAAAACACGTTGGGAGAGGTGGAGTGATGCATACGGCACTCATTCAGCCAACTCTGCAGCGGCCATTCATTCTGCTGCCGAGTTCCCTAGTCCTAGACACTTGCCTTTACCTACTACCAACTGCAAAATGAACTGTGAACAGAGAACAGAGAGTAGAACTGAGAATTCTCTCTTCTGTGCTCACAGAGACAATGGCTGTCCCTTGAGAAGCTGGCTAATTGAATCATCCTTTGTTTCAGCTGCAAATGGAATGGTGCCTAAGAAAGATCTTGAAATTGTAAAGCTAGAGGGACACTTAAGGATCAGTGTAGCTCCGTTTTCTACTTGGAAAGCTCAACCTCAGGGCAATAAATGGACCAACGTAAGGGCGCACAGCGTTCTCTGCTGAGAAGTCAGTCATTCTGCTCAGTTCACTACTGTTTATGACACAGCATGATGCCTTGACCTCCAAGCCATCCTGGTCACTGCTTCTTTTCATTCTGGCTGCATAAACTCCCATAATTTTCATAGGAGACTTGGAGTCCTAGTAAAATCGTGGTTTACGCGGTTGGGTGTGATTTGAAGCTTCCTCTCTCATGTAAATGCTCCCACTGTTAGAATTTTAATTAGGTGACATTTAGTTTAAATGAGCTTCAAGCTCATCAGTGCAAGAAAAAAGCAGTAGAGCTGTCCTTCTGTTCTGCTATAATTTTGCTGTAAGACGTTGGGTTTTATATGTAAATCACTTCACAATTCTGAGTATTCATTTCCTCTGTTTTACTTTTTTAAAATATATTTTTATTGATTTCAGAGAGGAAGGGAGAGGGAGAGAGAGATAGAAACATCAATGATGAGAGAGAATCATTGATTGGCTGCCTCCTGCACAACCTAACTGGGGATCAAGCCAGTAATCTGGGCATGTGCCCTGACCGGGAATTGAACCCTAACCTCCTGGTTCCTAGGTTGATGCTCAATCACTGAGCCATGCCAGCTGGGCTCTTCTGTTTTAAAATTAAGGAGACACACTAGGTCAGTGGATCTCAGTCCCACTTAAATTAGAAACATCCGAAGGGCTTATAAAGCCACCTGTCCCTGGTCCTTGGCCCCAGAGATCCTGACCCTGTCGGTCTGGGTGGGCCCAGTAGCTCTGGGAGTTCCTGCTCCCAACTTGTTTCTAACAGCCACCTGGATTGAGAAACACTGCAGCAGAAATCACCAAACTAATGTCCTTTCTGGCCTTAAATTATGACACTCTGCTATCTCCAAGGAAATCTTCTATATATATAAAAGCCTAAGCAACCAGCCCACTGGCTGACTGGCCAGTAGCTATGACACACACTGACCACCAGGGGGCAGATGCTCAACGTAGGAGCTGCTCAGCTGCGGTGACTTGGCAGCTATGGTTCTCGGGTGACGCACCCGGGACCAGAGAGGAGGGAACCCGATTCCGGGGTGCCAAGAACTGACCTCTCGCAATCCGGGACCCCCTGGGGGATGTCAGAGAGCCGGTTTCAGCCCGATCCCTGCAGGCCAGGTGTGCACCAGGCCTTTAGTAGCTAAATAACTTCCTGCAAATAGAACACACTTTAAAGTATTCCACTGCAGAATGCCTGCTGAAGAGACTTTAACTTACTTTCCAAAGTACTGAATTTCCCAGAGCAAATATAAGAAAGGCACAGCCCCCCTACACATGACGAGGCATCTTCTGAATAGTCGATTTTAAAGTAACAGACCGTGATGAAATGTGACATGACCTGACGTAATACAGCATAAGATACACATTTCTACACTTTCACTTTTAAGCAGAATCGCATTCTTCTGAGAGATCTGAAGGTACCTCTAGGACACAGGGTGAATTTGTTATTATTACTGGCTTCACAAACCCTACAACTAACTGTAACGACATACTCAGAGATGCCAGCTTTTATCTGTGAACAGTGCTTACTTCAGGGACGCAAACGAAGGCCCCGCGCTCCTCAGCCCGGTCTCCGCCATCTCAATGGCGTGCTTGATCTCCAGCTTTTTATACAAGGACACGATGCTCGACTTGGGCTGGTTTTCCCGGATCAAAAGCTTCCGCAGGTATTTGTCATCAAACTTTTTAAACCTGGGAATAAAGAAAATCAAAGCTTTGATTAACTAATGCTACCTACACCAAGCATGTCAAACTTGCGGGCCACATCCGCATGCAGCCCACAATGAATATTTTTGCAGCCTAACCAATATAATGGTATGTAAGAAACGTTTTAATAAATATTTTGTAACTTAATTTTTACAATAATTAAGCATAATTATTAATAACGAACTACAATGTTCACTAATGACTGATTACTATCATCGTGTTGCATTCATTTCCCTTATGCACAGGTGCACCATTTCTATCTACTAACACTAGCGGCGAATATTTCAGCAGCCAATGGCCATGTCATTAGTCTTGTACTGACTAGTTTGGTGTGCACAACAGGAAGTATTTTGCTTTTGGAGAAAAGAAAAGTATAATTTAATTATACATTATAATTATTTTTAAATGTGCATACCTGAATACATATGTACATAAAATATGGATACATGCAAATAAAAAAATATATAGCACATATCGATATATGAATCTAATGTGTATTTCTACATTTCCTATTTCTCTGCTTCTCTTTTCGGAAAAATTATTCAAAAGTGTTGTTAATATTCTGTGTCTACAATTCCTCTCCTTTAATTTTCTCTTGAAAATTCAGGCTTTTCCCTCCAATACTCCATTCCAACTACTCATTTTGAAGTAACCAGTGATCCCCCCACGACATAAATCCAATGGCCAGTTACTCAGTTCTCAGCTTTTCTGACCTCTCCTGTTTAAAACAGTGTCTTCTGGGAAACACTGCTCTGGGTCCCTGCCTACCTTGTCCTCAACCACTTTTTAAAATTCCTTTTCTTCTTCCGTCCAAATAAAAAAAGAAACTTTTTTAAACGAACACACATAGAACTTTCTGTCCTCTTCTCTTCCTCCACGCACTCTCCTGGTGAACTGGCCCAGTCGTGTGGATTTTAATACATCTCTATGCCAGTGACTCTCAAATTTGTATCTACAGCTCCAGCCTCTCTCCCAAACCCAGAAATAAATATTCAGCAGCCTAATCAACATCTCCACATGGCTATCGAGTAGACATCTCAAACTCCATGTGCTCAAGCTGGGCTCATCTCCCCTTGTAACCCTTCCATTTCTGTTAATGGGAACTCCACCAGGTCAGAACCCTGATGTTATCTTTGATTATTCTCCATTTCTCATGTTCCATGTTATGACTGAACTAGAGGCCTGGTGCACAAAAATTTGTGCATGTGGGGGGCATCCCTCAGGCTGGCCTGTGCCCTCTCGTAGTCTGGGACCCCTTGGAGGATGTCCACCTGCTGGCTTAACCCTGCTCCCTGGGAGATCGGGCCCACGCTGGCAGTCAGATATCCCTCTGGCAGCCCGGCAGCCCTTGGGGGATGTCCACTTACCAGCGGGGAGCAGACCTAAGCTGTAGTTGGACATCC